ACATATGTCAAACCTTCAAAGGCTAATATCTTCGCTTGCAATAGAGTAATTTGAATGAAATTTTCAAATTATTCATTTTACATCATCTACTTTCGAACTATTATAGCAAGAATGGCTAGTTCTTTATCTAAATCTTACATAATGTATCTTTAAGTTTCTGTTTCTAGTAGCTGTGGTAGTCACTGTTGCATTTGGTGGACATTGACCTATAAGGTGGTGATAACCTTATGTCAATCGAAATAATTTGTTATTATATAATCAGTCTCTAACTTTAATCATACTAAATGCTAAGCATGCATATTAATATAGAAATTTTATAAGCTCTATTACAATAAACAATATTCAATAATCTCAGTTCTTTAACATTGTTAAATGTAAATAAACACTATTTTGCTTGGTTGCCAACTAATTTAAGAAGTTTGGGTTTCATATTTTAATTCGAGCAAATGTAGGATATCTTCAGATAGAGTGAACTGTATAACCCTTATACTAATTTGTGCATAAAGCAAAGATTGGACAATATTTTTACTTTTAAGTTAAAGTGTAGAAGTTGATTAACATCCTGATGAATTTGATTGAAACAGTGGAACCACAGTGGCTCAGTGGGTAGGTGCTGGCTCACAAACCAGGAGGTCCAGGGTTTCCTCACGTCAGGTGTGCAGAACAAATGGCCTGGCAAGGACAGCTGTTTAGTCGATCAGATGTGGCAAAAGCTGAGCTCCTGTGTACACATTCACTCGCACGGAAAAGTACAGTTGGATTTCGAAATAAAGCAGTAGCACCGGTGTCCGGGCATAATGTCAGACTGTATGGCGTATGACCATATTCAATAGCCCAGTCAGCTAAAGTAGGACCTTAAACCCCATTTCATTTTATTGAAACAGAACCAAGTTAAAGTATTAATAGTACATGTATTGTTTATATTGCACAGCAAGTTTATATCTGTCTAGACTTCCATTCAAATAATAACATATACACCTGTTGGTCATTCAACTCTAATTACACAAATATTTCATCTATGTATGATCTAATTCAGTTCAATTCACAAATAAATAAATTCATAATGTGATTATTATGAGCTGAGAATGATGAAAACCTGATTAGTAACGTTATTTTAAATTTTCATCAATAACTTGCAATTTAAATGTACATCTGAATAACCTCTGCTTATTTTATATGGAAGAATTATGGTTAAGTAAAATAAAGGGGGTATCATATGTAAACTAAATCTGTTGGTGAACTGAATTAAATTTATATCCATGTCATTCCATGTACCTCTGAGTTGTGCCTTGAAATGCCATTTTCAGGTTAATTTAAGCTTGTCAGTGAAATAAATTATGGAGATTTTTCCCCAAAAGCTCACTTGGCCACCACCTATAAATAGTCAAGCAGACTCTGTAGAAGACAGCTGTATTACAAAATACAGAACTTGCAAAAAAAACAGTTTGGATAAATATATATGGGCACAACCTAAGTGGATTTATAAAATAGTAAAATATGACATCTGGAATGTTAGTATTGTAAACACAACCACCTCATGCTCATGCGCTATGTAAAGTGGGACATACATGTATTACTAAGTCTAGATTGTCTGCGATATCACCTCGGTGGAAGCGGACGTTAAATAAAGCTATTTCACACAGACAATTTCATGGATCAATTCTTGTAAGCACAACAATTATTTTACAGATTATTAAATCATTGTCCATAATTTCTAATTTCAGGATTAAATTCTCAGCATTTTAACCTTCAGGTTTCAATTCTGGGCTTTTTTAACATTGAATTTTAAATTCTAAGAATTTTTAACCTTCGGGTCTCAATTCTGACCTTTAGTTGCACTTTTCAAGAAGTCTATCTGAGGCCCACAGCTTCCACCCTCTCACAAACTCTCTATCAACAGCTGTGCATTAAATTAAACATACAGATTTTATTTTCATGTTGGCATTCTAATCCTATGTTGTTTTTTTTATTATTTCTATTATTCTATTGTTATCCATTATCTTGCACTCTTAACTTTGAATCTATATGGGATGCTAATGAACTTTAAAATAAAGACCAAATTACAATGCTTATATAGAGGGTTATGGTCGTGGATGTGAACAACTAACTTTTTATTATGTGATAGTATTAGGACAGGTCGTATCCTACACTACATTACAATATTGACTTAGATCAACCCACTTCATTCTAAACACAATGGGTAGCAAACTTTGGTAAAACTTCAAACAATAATGAAAGAATGTTATTCATCTATTTTCATGAATAACTCAACTGGTTGTATATCTTAACTCTGACTAGTTATTATCTTTTACCATATTTTAGCATAGTCTTGTTAATAATTACCAGTATTCATAATACCCATGGGTTATTTTATTGATGTGGGGTCCAATATCTGACATAGATACTAAAATTTTAAGTAATCTCAATTACTGATAAAATTATACCATTTGAAGGACAGTTGGTGATTTCTCATTGTTGAGTTCCAAAAAAAAGATATTAACGTCTTTACACGACAAGTTATGAAGTTACGTACAGATTTCTTGTGTAAAGGGACACCAAATTCTTGATACAAACTGAAAAATCTCTGTAGATTTTAAATAAAATAAAGATTTTACAAAATTGTAGAAGTTTGTTTGACCTTAACAATCCATATGAACTACTTGTAAAGCAGTATCATGAAAATTCAACATAGAAAGGTTTACTGTGATACTGAGTATTGCGGTTTCACATATAAAGGGACACCAAATGTTGATGACTTGAAAAGAGCAAGGTAATATTTCAAGATTGTTGGCATTGTTACAAGAAAGCAAAGAAAATAATGTAGCATTGGTTATATACGTGTATACTAATACAATGTCTAGTTAATAATAGGGACTCAAAAGTTTTGGTTTCCCATTTTCATAATAATATTATCCCTGAATACCAAGGAAGCGATAACTTCCATTTATGGAAGAATACTGTTGTTTTGACCCACAATTATAACTTCCAACATCTATGTGTCATATGTAGGAGGTAATTTCGATAACAACATAAATACAGGGGTGCTAAACTTTGATTCTAACTTATTCAGAACATATCCAATCGCTGAGCCATCGTCTGCTTCAGGTATGTATATCATGTGACCATAAACTAAACATCTTTCTCTCTCTCTGACATATTTCACAGCAAATAGAGAGCATTACAATCGGCATAAACAAGCACTTCGTAAAATAAAAGGACTTGAATTTCCAATATCGACAGAGCTAATGAAATTTTCAGACAATTTTACACAATAGGGCTGATAACGTTTTCGGAATTTGTTATTGATTTCCACTTCAAAAATATTTTGTTTTGATTTTTCAAATAATACAACGTAAATATTAGGGAAAATTTACGTTGTGAGACGTGATTGAAAATCCTCCTGTTGAGATAACTTATCATTTGTTTAGAAATGAAAAATTAGTAAACAAAATATTAGATTCTCTGCTGCATGTTCTGTGAAAATATTTGGAAATACCGGTATTTATCTTGTGCTCAACATGGGCCAATTGTTAAATTGTTAAGTACAAAATGTCCCCAAAATGTAACACAAAAATTCAGGGACACCAGGAATTGTAACATTGAAAAATTAAATCACAAACCGCTTTTGAATATTTTAAAAGTAAATAAGTATAAAATAATAAACATATTACATGACCAATTACTCTTTTCAACAATTGGTGATCAGAAAACAGGTGTTTTTGTTGCTTTGAGCAATGATATGTATGACTTTTCATTCGGACCCCATATTTGTGGAATGACCCATATACATCATGTACAGTCTAGTTCAGATTCATTAACCAAGTTTTTCCTAATATACAATCAAAGTAAACCAGATTAAAAAATAGGTTGTCAGGCAACAGAAGTTAATTAAAGATATTTCACACACACATGCAACAGCCGATACATGAAAGTCTGATGTCCAGCTTACATTGTTGTTGCATTGTAAATCTTTGTAAATATAGAGCAAAATCTGTATGACATAATATCATTATAAAGTGTGGACAAGGTTGCATGACACAATCAAGGATGATAACTAATTATCAGTATTGTTGATCGGATTCTTCATTTTACTAGTCTGAACAATGCAGATAAATATCAAGCAGATCAGATGATAATCTGTCGATTGAGCAGTCACAAAAATTTACAAAGTGAAGATTACATGTGCTATAACTCTTAGAACTATTTGTTGAAATTTAGTAGGATTCTTTACTTCACAAATCTTAACAATGCATATAAGTTTCACATAGATCAATTGACAATTTCGTCACTGAAATGCTAACCAGATTTTACGAAGTGAACAATATCAATAACACTAGAAACAATTATGCATATTTAATTTATGCATATACATGTAGCATATAATATAAATTTCAAACATAGCATATGATTCACCACTGAACACGGTCCATAGCTCCCAAAGCATTTAATGGAAGTTATGTTGTCAATATCTTTTTTGATATCTCAAATTACAAGGCTTTAATTTAAGGAGAATAATTCTTTTTTAAAACAAAATTAATTGTAGGGTTAGGTACAAACACATGATACCAATAAGAATTTCTCCTAAACCATACAAAATTGGTGAAAATATGACTACACATAAAGATGAAAGATACAAAAAAAAAATTAGTATGTAAGACCTCTTAAACTGTATTGTAATAAAAGGTACAGCCCTACTCTGTTCATTATTAGAGCTGACCAATTGTACGTGTCTATCTGATTTAACACAGTCATGTCAATATGTTCTAGTATTTGTTTTCAACATGTACATTTTATTGTGTTTTGACTTTAACACCTCCATCATAAATATTTCTGATGTACAAACACTAATGAGCTCAACCCTAAATGCTGAAAGAGAAAAATTGGAAAAGCCACAAAAAATTGTGTATTTTATGATAAAATTGTTTTTGCTTTCTCTAAATTCATCTACATGTACAAAGTTAAATTATCAATTATCAATTATCATTTATTATCATACTTACCCCTTTCAATTCAAATAGTTTTACCAAGTTCTGAACTGATCTTCTTGATCCTGCTCTGACCAGATTTACTAAGCTACGTTCACGCTTTTGAACCTTAGCAACCAATGATTCGTCCTTGGAAACATTAGGTACATCCATAGACTTTGATCTTCTGGCTCGGAAACGACTTCGGGATCTACTTCGAGTCTCCCTATTGGTTTTCACCTCTGGATCCTCCCGGATGCTGACACGTTTTTTACTCTTCATGGACATAATGTCTGACTGATTATTAGCCAATAGTGGTCAAAGATATCCAATTCACAGAATCACAATTAACATGGCTTAATCCTTATTTGTCACTTTGTGACACAGTTTCAGGGTGTAAAATATATTCCAAGGTTGCATCAATTATGATCATTTGGTCTTTATTACAACATTGGCATACTATTGAAAACTGCTTCTAATCAGATTATAATTTCTCTGTTTTAGTGTCAAATTTATGAAAATTCTCTTATAAATGTCAGCGATTTGTTATTGTATTTTAATCCTCTTGTTGGGTTCAGAAAAACAGACAGAGACACCCACTCATTATCAGAGAAATTAGCTAAATAAAAAAGCTATTGTCAATTTGTCAAAATTCTTCCTTAAGAAAACACCCACATTTTCACATATTCTTCTTCATTTTGAACAAAAAACCAAATCAGTAGATGAAACACACATAGCAAATTCTTTCAAAAGGATGACATCCGTTAAAACATTTTAAAATATTTTGCATCACTATACAACAAATGTAACTTTTTAAACGAAAAAACCTACAGTGTGAGAACCACATAGAGGGGGTTAGTTGAATTCAGTCACCCATGAAATAAATTCTGTAAATGTATGACCACAAACAGATGAAATAAAAAAATAAAACTGTTTTAAATTCATCTCCATGTATCACAGAAAGCTTTCACACACATAATATAATCCACATTACTGGAATTCCTATATTGCAGGTTTTATTAATATAAAATGTTTTGAGTTTGTGATTGTTGAACCCATGGTGGTTCACGGTTTCACAGGATACATTTGACAAGCTGTCACTCGATAGTCACCACTTGATGTCCACCTTAAATTAAATAATGCACACTGTAGAACACAATACAAATGAAATAAATAACAATTTGCTAACTTTAGTAAAGGAGAGTAAGAAAATAATCAAGTCCACAACTAAATATTCCCACATTGAGTTCACTAATTGTCTTCCACAGAAATAGAAACAAAATGCTGTTTTTCAAAGACTTATTCTAAATTTTTCTGCAAACTTTTTCCAAAGAAATATTCCACACTAAAAGATAGGAAATACAAAATAAAATTTTCTAATAATTTTTCAACTTATCAAGATGAGATATTCCACAAAACTAAAGAATACAAACTCGGTCCAAAAACATTAGTGTGAGATGTCCCATTGCAAGTATTCAACCACACCTTATGAAAGCCTAAACCTGATATACTATGATTAATCAACAACTAATTCAAACTGTCAAATTAAACATACAGTGCATCTACATGTAATTGCCAACAACAGTATCAAATAGACTGGATGTTAATTAAAAATATTATTTATAAATACTATAATATTCAATTAAACTATACATACTGTATCCATTTATATCGCACCATAAGCATGCTCATTAACATGAACAGGTGTCACTGTTACTGAACGATTAAATATATTCAATTATATACAATCTACTTATTTCTATATTTAAATATTTGGATGCTTTTCTTTTATTGGATTATTATTATTCTCAAATTTTCTGCATTGTGTGAAGTATTCCTAGGATATTACATAATGTATATTTGCCCATATAACAGTGTTTCCACTGGACAAAACCCCAAAATACCTTTGAATTCTACTTCCAAAATTGCATGATGTTTCGGGAACCTTAAGTCTTGAATAAAAACATTTAGCAACCTGCTCGGGGTGGGAATGTTTAATCTAGCTTCAGAATCATCAGTGGAAATATTGTCAAACAGAAACTAATTCATAATAAATCTTATTTCAAGTCTAACCCACATCCCCTCTTAAAAATGAACTTTATTTTAACTCCATGAAATTGTAACCCACACATCAAATTTCAACCCATATATTTCTTTGTTAACAACAATGTTGTCACCAACAACTTCAACAAAATTTATTTAAATGCAGAATTACAAAAATGATCTGTTAATGAAATTCAAACCAACATCCCCTTATAACAATTTGCAGGTCACTAACGGGTAGAATAAAATCTACATGAATGAACAACAATTCTGTCAACATGATTGTATTATGACATGTACATTATCATATTAATGTTATTATTCTAGTTAACATTTTATATGGCACTTTCAGGTCAACACAATCATTAAAGTGGCTGGCACTGGAGCCAGGTTTCCTAACAGCCACTGGTAGGTATTTATATTTAAATCTTCCCAATTCAACACTATGAAATATAAGAAATACAGATGAAATGCTGCTTTATATACTCCATATTGACACTACAAAAGGTGACTTTTTTTCCAAAATCAATTGAGTGGTATCAAGGAAGATTTTAATTTAAGAAAATCTTTACACATATAAAACTTAATCAATCACAGATGGTTTAAACAAATTCTTTCCAACTGACAACAAGTAAATAGTTTGTCTTTAAAATGTCACTTTAAACATGATGTCTGTAGATTACATGCTCTGCATGAGGGGTTAGGTAAAGTTGAACTTGTGGGGGAGTTGTACCAATCATTATTAATGTCATATGTAATCGCATTGCAATTGACAGACAGTTTCCTCCTAATCAATCAATCATGTCATCATTTATAACACAATGTCACCTATGATATCCTCCACAATTTTCTAAACACATCACAAGAGCTTAATACAAGTTTCTAATAAGTACATCATAAATACTCATTCTACCAACTACTTCTACAAGTTTCTAATAGACAAGTCATAATCACAAGAACTCAACCCAATTATGCACATTATAAACAGCCATTCATTTAACATCAACTGTAATCTTCCCCAAGTTTGAAATACACACCCATTCAAACTCCTATCAACTGCAGTCTTATATAACAAATTCAATGTACTACTTACAAAAAATATAATTCTTCAATTATGCATGTTACTCTTTGTCATTTTCATGGTTCTATTAGGTAAACCAGTTGTCAATATCTTCTAAACATGGGAAGTGGTATTAAGTGTTCTAAAAATAGTGGGCATACTTTGTTCTCCTATGGTATAAACCTTTGATGATTTAGTCCTAGGCATACTGTGTACTCCTATGGTAACCTTTGATGACTCTGACATAGGCATACTGTGTTCTCCTTTAACTATGGTAAACTTTAATGATTCTGTCATCATATTCCTTATTCCATCTATTTAACAAGTAGATAAATACAAGCAGTCAAAGTTTTAAATGGTTTCAAAAGACAAAAGTATTAGAGATGAAATCCAGAATTTATCTCATGGGTGAAGATCAACTTGATCAAAACACAGATCCCACAGAACTGACATCCTTAAATCAAACACTATATCTATCCAAGAAGACAATACAGGAATATTCCAGCATTAACAAAAAAATTTTCGGTATACTTGAGAGAGGAATCCAATTTGAAGTTAGATACACAGTTGATGTCAAGAATTACATAAAGTTCACTTTATCTAAACAGACGACAATTCTCCACCTACATCAAATTATACAAACTGTAAATATATATGTATAATGTCTCGATTACCATAAAAACTTTAATAGAAAATAAATATACAAATACCGGTTCCACCCATTGCCGCTGGTATTCCTGTTTTTCAACATAACTGAGTATTGTTTTTCTGAGAGAATGCTAATTCTAACAATTTCTGAAGTGTAAAGTAAATACCTCTTAATTCTTAAGTCGGTGTAAAATATATCACAACACTTATTCATTTGTAATAGGTATACTTCTATCAAAACAGAGTACATCCTTTCTATGTGGGCCATTTATGAACCAAACCCTTGAAATAAGATCGGAAAATTTTTGGGGACACAAAGCGGAAAACATCATTTCAACCTTGTATTGTATTTCAGAGAAATGAACTATTACTCTTAGGTCATGTTCACAAAGCATTTAATTCACAATTTCAATGATCATTACTTCCTTCACTCCCAACTGTTGCTTCATGAAAGAAGTGACGTGAATGCTTACTCTTTCTGGAACACCTGATACCACTTTTGTTAACACAATAATAGGAATTCACATAAATAAATTTGTGATGTACATGAAATAAAAAACCATTAAAACTGAATCAAACCTATTTGAAGAAATAAACCCATCTAATTAGAAACTAGATAAAGACTTATTTCAAGTAAAAAAATCTTAATGTTAGCCACCATTACAAAGCCTACACATGTAATAGGAATGCTTATTCAGCTTATTAATTCTATTGAGATACACACAAGCTATTGACTGTCACACTTTCATGAATTTATCCCAGTGTTTATGTAGTATGAATCATTTAATAATAAAATAAACGCATTATATATAAATTGTATCTGTATGATAACAGCATGAAATGAAACCGATTCAAAGAGGATTTCAACAATATCATTTATACTTTTTAGTTATTTAAACATTTTCTTCGAATTTAAAATATTCCTTTGACTTTATAAGCAGGCTTAAATTGATGGTCTTCATTCTTAAGTTTAGGAAATAAAACAACCCATAAAACATGTACAAAAGTACAATAGAAATATTTTAAATATGTGAACTTTTTAAATGAGAAGTGATATCAAGTGTTTTAAGTATTACCACATGTTCAACATCACTACAAGTATTTTTTAAGCTATGGAAAGATAGTTCAGAACCTGGACTTTCATCTAGCTACACAAACTCCTCAGATATAAGACGAGATGTTCTAGAAAAAGTGAACATACAAAACCTCATGCATGACACCAGACACTACTTTGAATTATAGTTTGGACTTAAATAGCTAAAGGGGTGCTATGGTGGCTCAGTGCGTAAGATGTTGGGAGGTCCAAAGTACACTTTGGTGAGTATGTACACGAACCCTTGACAGTTCGAATTTGAAATAAGAGTAGGCTGTAGCACTGATGTCCAGGAAAAATTTCCCTTATAGGACACTGTATGGCGTATGCCTGTCTTGGCATCTTCATTAACCCAGTTGGAGCAGAAAAGTAGGACGTTAAACCGTGCATTTCATTTCATTCACTACATTATCCCAGTTGGAGCAGAACAGTAGGACGGAAAACCGTGCATTTCATTTCATTTCATTCACTTGAATAGCTGAAGATTTACTAGGTAGAAAACATTATATAGCCAATAAAACAACCTGAGCAATATCTAACATCCAGGCAGACAGGAAACCTTTCATCATTATTTATCAAAAAAATATTTCACAAGTCTTGATAACAGGTTAAAAAAATTCCTTTAATATCAACAT